ATGACACAATTATTAAGACAATAATTAAATATGCGAATTTAAGTATATTTTGAGAAATAATTTTGATGAGTATATAATATAATGTGTTATTGATGATAACTGTGATTTTATAAATATTTTTCTTTAGTATTTGATGATTAAATTGTCATTTAAGAGTGTTAATTGTTTCCTAAAATAGAAAGTGAGAACCTTTAAGTGAGATGACAAAAAAAAAGTGGGAACATTTAAATGGGACGGAGGGAGTATTATTTTAGGTAGTTATATAAAATGTATTAAATTATTAATGTATTAAAACAGTTATTTTTAATTTAACTTCTTTTCCATACTCAATGAAGAGATATTGGGCTACCATTCCTTCACCGGATAGTTCAAATAATAATGCTTCAAATATTGCATCTCAATGTTCTTCATTAACACCTAAACAAGTTGATTTGGATGAGCTTCCTTCAGATTCTGGAAAAAGAAGGAAAATTTGAAAGTACCATCCTAATCAAATAGACGAAATCAGGAGCAAATATTTGATTAAAGGACCTTGTCAACCATGTGGTCATGACTTCCCACAAATAGAGATTGGGAGACTTTAAGACACTTTAACTCTAAATGGTTTGATCAATATACTAATTGGTTAGAATATAGTATAAAAGATGACAAAGCATTTTGTTTGACTTGTTACTTGTTTAGAGATCACTTTGAGAATCGTGCTGGGAATGACGCATTTGCAACTAAAGGGTTCTCAAGTTGGAATAAAACGGAGCGATTAGCCTCTTATGTGGGTAATATAAAGAGTTTCCACAATAAGGCACATATGAAATGTGATGATTTAATGAATCAAGACCAGTCAATTGATGTTGCTTTGCACAGACAAAATGAAATTGTGAAGAATGAATATCGGATTCGTTTGAATGCTTCTATTGATTTTCAAGATTTTTATTGCATCAAAGTCTGCCTTATCGTGGTCATGATGAATCTGAAGAGTCTAACAATAGAGGCAATATTCTGGAACTAGTAAAGTATACTGCTAGTCAAAATGATGTTGTGAGTAAGGTTGTATTGAAAAATGCTTCAGGAAACAATCAAGTAGTTGCTCCTATCATTCAAAAAGACATTGCTAATTGTTTTGCACAAAAAGTTGCTCATTCTGTGATTAAGGAGATAGGTGATGATATGCTTAGTTTGTTGCTTGATGAGTCTAGTGATGTGTCTTACAAGGAGCGATTGGCTGTGGTTTTGAGGTATGTTGATCAGTGTCGCATAATTAAAGAAAGATTTATTGGTGGTGTTCATGTGAAGGATACATCTTCTCTTTCTCTTAAAGCTGCTATTGATTCTATATTTTCTGAATATAGCCTGAGTTTGAAAAATGTTAGAGGCCAAGGGTATGACGGTGCAAGCAATATGCAAGGTGAGTTCAATGGGTTGAGAGTTTTAATCATGAAAGAAAGTAGCATGTCTTACTATATCCATTGTTTTCCTCATCAACTACAATTAGTTGTTGTGGCAGTCTCAAAGAAACACTTTGATGTTGGTGTTTTTTTTGAAATGATATCTCTTTTATTAAATGTGGTTATAGCTTCTTGCAAAAGAAGAGATATGATTCGAGAAAGTCATCAAGAAAAAGTGAAAGAAGCTATAAGTTAAGTAATGGTGAAATTAGCATCAGAACAGGATTAAATCATGAGCTTTCCCTTCAAAGACCGGGAAATACACGTTAGGGCTCCCATTATAGAACACTTCTCAATTGATTGAACTGTTTCCATCAGTTGTTCAAGTCCTTGAGTACATTGAAGTGGAGGTCCTAGACAGTGTGAAAAGACGTCAGGCTAATGGTCTTCTAACATATTTTCAATCATTTAAATTTGTGTTTTATTTTCAGTTGATGTTGTTTATCTTGGGATTCACACATTCTTTGTCAGTGACTCTTCAAAAGAAAGATCAAGACATATTGAATCATGTTTCACTTGTGAAAACAACAAAGCAACAATTGCTTAAGGTAAGAGTTGATGGATGAGATTCTCATTTGAGGAAGATCTTAGAATTTTGTGAGAAGCATGAAATTTCTATGCTTAATATGGATGAGGACTTTGTTAACCCAAGGAGGCCACGACAAAGAACTAATATCACTAATCAGCATCATTATGAGTATGAATGTTTTAATTCCATTATGAATTTGCAAATTAATGAATTTGATGACCACTTCAATGAGGTACATTCGATCTGAACTACTTCTTTGCATGGCTTCTTTGACTCCGATTGATCCCTTCCGTGAGTTTGATGCTTGAAAATTGTTGAGATTGGCTGAATTTTATCCAAGTGACTTCAGTTGTGTGGAACACAGAACTCTTCAGAATCACGTCAACATTTATATTAACAATATGTTAGCGGATGAAAGGTTTGCTAGATTGAAAAGTCTTGGTGATCTTGCTCGAGTGATGGTGGATACAAGGAAACATCTTTCACATCCTTCAATGTATATGCTTTTAAAGCTAGCATTGAATTTGCTAGTTGCCACAACAACCGAAGAGAGATGTTTTTCCTCTATGAAAATAGTGAAGACTAATATGCGTAATAGAATTGGTGATAAGTATTTGAGTGATTGTTGATTTGTGTTATTGAAAGAGATGCATGTGTTTGAAACTGTTACAAATGAAACTGTGATTGATCTCTTCCAAAAAAATGAAAACTCGGCGCGAACAATTCTGAAGTATTTGGTAAGAGTTTAATTATTGTAATATTACATTAATACTTTGTTATTATTTTTCCGATGCTTCCCCCCCAAATAAGTTCTAATCCTGGATCCGCCACTGACGATAGCAATGACAAAATCTGTAGTGTTGACCTAATGACAGATCAGCGGCGGGGTGGGGGCAACAATGCTCTAACCCTATGAGGGTACTTTTTTTATATATAAATCACAAATAAACAGCCTTATTTATGAGATTTTAAATATTAGGTCTTATTTTGAGAAAATAATAAACCTCCCAATGTATTTTACTTAAAACATTAAACCATGGCATTAGAGCATGGCATTAGATCCCACTAACTTTGTCACTTTCCTTTTTAAGGAAAGAATTTGTGGTTCCCGTTAATTCTGTTTCTTCTGCACAAACTTCAACCACACAGTTTTTGCTTTATTAATCCCCATGCCAATTAAACTTGGTCAAGTTTTAAGGGACCGAGGGAGTACTACATAACTAACACACGAATATCCAAATAAAAATTCATTTGGAGCCAAATGAAGTGAAAATTATTGACATTATTAATGAAGCATTACTACCTCCGTCCCAAAAAACTTTTTCATTTTCATAATTTTGATCAACTATATCTTTTTTTTAGAAGTTATTTATAATATAAAATTATATGAAAATGTTCTTTGTTAAAAATACTTTCATAAAAAAACCGTATATTTGTGAATCTTGGTTAGTACCCTTGTTTTGTGTCAACAAAATCTATGCATAAGAAGTTGTACATCACCTTTAGAAAGTTGTTCTCTCCTTTAGCTTTCCTTAATCACCCTTACGGAATTGTTTCTTCTTCCGTTAGTTCAAAAACAAGGCTAACGTAAATGCATATACATATGCATTTCATATTCTATGAATACGTATAGGAGGATGAAATATATAGTCTTCTAGAACTAAAAATACAAATGCATATAATTACTCTTTTCATATTAGTACAAGAGGGTAAGATAAACTTTATTTAGTATATATTCTTAATCTTACATTAAGTATCACATAATGTTTATGTAATATTAATTTACAAAAATATTAATTTTTTTCCTTTATTTAATACTCCTCGTCCCACTATAGTTGTCGCAGTTTTCCTTTTCTGCCAGTCCCACTAAGTTTGTCCCGTACAATAATTGGTAATATCTGTGTGGTTCTAAATCATTCTTACATTATTCTCACTTTATCATTTCATTATCAACCACAAAACTTCAAAAAACCTTATATTTGTGAATCTTGGTTAGTACCCTTGTTTTGTTTCAACAAAATCTATGCATATGAAGTTGTACATCACCTTTAGAAAGTTGTTCTCTCCTTTAGCCTTCCTTAATCACCCTTACACATACAAGTGTTGTACTCACTCTGTCCCGAAAATGTTCGCCAAATTGACTTTTCTTGGTCAATGACAATCAACTTCGACCAATGATATTTTTTATACGAAATTATTTTGAATATGAAAAATATATCAAAACGTTCTTTATTCAAAATATTTTCATAAAAGTATAAAATTTATATATAAATATAATGATTCTAATCATTGTTCAAAGTTTGCCATCATTGACCAAGAAAAGTCAATATGGCAAACCTTTCCAGGACGGAGGTAGTATCACATTAACTTCAAAAGATGACATTATAATCATATGGGGCACATGACTTCGCGCCTTGCGCGAGCAGAATTGTAACACCGTCCCCAAATGTATTTACTTTTAAGAGTATAATGTATTGAACCTTATGGAATGGTTAATGAATATACGAAGTGGTGAATTTTTAATAATTCTTTTGCGTGAAATAGTAAATTTGCACGTGGGACCCACACCGGGAGCGGGGCCCGCCCGATATTCCCGAGACCGTATATTTTATTCATCTTGGTCAATATAATATTTATATAATGGTGGATAATTTATTTGGTCCAAAGAAATGATATAGAGTTGACCGGTTGATCAAAAAGGCCAAAATACCGGTATCGGTAATTTAACAGATAACAGCCCGAAACGAATTTCAGAGGCTTATAAATTAAAGTTGGGGAATGTATATTCATTATAAGGGTCATAATGATTGGAAACACATAACATATTTTATTTCACCCGATGAGATAAAATATATTTGAAACTGTCCGAAAAATACAACTTTCGGGACCGATTGTACATATCGGGACACAAAGGGATGACCTCCCACATGAGTGGGGGCCACCCCACGTTTTTGGGTGCTGAGATTGTCAAATGAGAGCTGTAAATTATAGGAAAGGGGCTGAGGGTGATGTATTGGGTAGGAAAGGACCAAATGTGGACCTCCACCCCACTCATTTGTCTAATTGAGACAAAAACCATCTCCCCACCTCACCATCACCATCCACTCGAACCAACACCCAAGAGTAGCAAGGAGAAGCTCTGAAATTCACCATTTCTTCACCCAAATTCGAGCTCAAGCTATAGTGGTCCAAAGAGGAGGATTAAAGAGGGAAAAAGTTGGGAGAAAGTGAGAAAGATTAAGGTAATGACCTTATACTAACTTTCCCTTTATTTTTCTTCTATCATTTGAGATATATGTCATATGAAGAACCCTTAGGAGTGTTCTACATGTTATAAGTGTGGAATAATGGGTTGGAAGGTGGTTCCATGTCCAAAAACGGACATAGAAGCCAAAACGACCGGTTTACCGGAAAATAACCTTTTAGAGGTTATTTTTATTGATTAAGGTTTTATGATGTTAAAACCTTTTTAGGAACTTGATTAAAGTATTTTTGAGCTTTGCCGGAGTTTTGCCGGAGTTGGTCAAAGTTCGCCGGAGTTGGTCAAAGTTCGCCGGGATTAGTCAAAGTTCAATCGGGGAGCGTAGAACGCGCGTGAGCTCACTTAAGGTGAGGATGACCGACTATATTGCTCATAATCTTTGGGTTAATTTCATGAGATTCCCTAAATGAATATACAATGTGATTTGCATGGATTACTAATGGTTAATAATGCCAAAATGAAATTACTATTGATTATAAGTATAGTTTGCATAATATACAAATTTATTGAATAAATGGTGTATGTCTAAATGTTATGAATATGATGGCATGATAGTAGTATCAACCATAAATCCCATTTGTGATAAGTATACTTTTATTTCATGAGAAGAAGCCATGAAGGAATAAAAGTGATATTTTGATATTGAGGCCAAATTACATATTGAATGAAGAATTACATTGAAATGAGTAAATAACTAGTATTGAAATATTAGTTGGATTTGTAGTTGAATAATGGATGAATGGATCCTAAGAAATTGAATTGTAAAGAATCGGTGATTATTGAGCTGGGCTCTAGACCGATGTAGATAACGGTGATTATTGAGCTGGGCTCTAGACCGTAGTAGTTATCGGTGATTATTGAGCTGGGCTCTAGACCGATGTAGATAACGGTGATTATTGAGCTGGGTTCTAGACCGTAGTAGTTATCGGTGATTATTGAGCTGGGCTCTAGACCGATGTAGATGACGGTGATTATTGAGCTGGGCTCTAGACCGTAGTAGGTAACGGTGATTATTGAGCTGGGCTCTAGACCGTGGTAAGTAATGATGAATTGACACTAAACGAATAAAGTTAACCATGATACAATAACACCCTAGATTGAGGGTCTTGGAAATTGAAACTTTGGTTATACTTAGTATAGTTGTCATTGTACTTGTCAAATGCTTCCAAGTACTGACCTCCCCTTCACGGGGGAGGCCACCTCACAGTTTCAGGTAGAACTTGAAGGTTGCTGCCATTGCCCGCTTGTTTCGGGAAGATCAAGGAGAGAAGACGTGGTTCGTGCTTCCTCCATTCCTGTTTTAAAAAAAACATTTAAATTGATGCTCATGGATATTATATTTTTGAATAATTATTTGGGGGCTTGTATGCCCATGTTTGCCAAGTGTGGCATGAATACTTGTATCAAATGTTTCCGCTGCTTGAATGAATGTTTTACATTATGTTTGTTTATGGATGTACTATGTGTGAATGATATCCCAGACGCCTTGTATAGTATGGATGCGTTGGACTGTGGTTGACTATTCGTACTGTACGGCGGATTGTCGACGTGTCCGGATAGGTCCCGGGCGTGACAATTTAACTGGTATCAGAGCCTTAGTCCGTAAACTTCATAATGAAGCTACAAAATCTCTTTTTGAAAACAAATTTGAAAACCATGAGCATAAAGGTTGTGTACTTAAAGAACTTTTGGTACTTGAGTTGCAAAGTCTCTAATTGTTAAGATGGTACCCTTAACAATTGGTATGGCGGTGATTTGAGCCAAAGGATGCCTTTAAGTACCTATCCGTCATTTGACATTGATACGAGTGTAATGACTCACTCTAATTCCTTTCAGAAATGGAGCCATTCGGCAGGATCACTAGGAGGAACCCGACGGGCCGTGTACCGGGTGGGTCCGAGCGCGGTAGCCGAGGGTCCTCTAGGGGATCAAGAGGAAGGGGCCGTGGAGGCTAACGACAAACCGTGAGCGATGGCCACGTCGACACGGAAAGTGAGACCTATTGGTCTTATGAGGATTCAACCTACCGGCCGGAAACGGAGCCGGTTGAGACCCCTTATGAAGGGGATGACGATGACGTAAGCGACGAGGAGGAAAATGGCTCCTTGGCTAGGATTGAAGCGTTGCTCCAGCAATACCATCGGGAGCGCGAGGAAAGGAGAGAACGTCGAAGGCGCCGTGTGGGGCAACCTTCGGGTGGGGCTCCAAGAGGAAGGAGCTATTGTGATTCAAGAACCCATGTGGAAGCGCATGGGAGTCGAGGTGATGGAGGTCCAACCATAAGGATCTCCAAATACATCAAAGAGGCGAGGGACTTGGGGTGCAAACCGTTCGATGGAACGGGGGACATCTCGGTGGCCGCACAATGGATCAAGAGGCTGAACGAGGCAGCCCTTGACATGCAACTCACCCCCGATTTCAAACTGAGAATCGCGGTGAGGTTACTTGAAGGGTTGGCATCCAAGTGGTGGGATGGAACCAAGGGCAAGTATGGCGGGGCTGTTACATGGGAGGATTTTCGGCAAGAATTCTTTGCCCAATACTACTCTGATTTTGAGGTAAACGCCAAGGTGAGAGAATACACTCTTCTGACCCAAGGGGGTAACATGACGGTGAAAGAACTGGAGCACAAGTTCAGGGACCTTGCCGACCACATACCGGAGTATGCTTGTGATGAAAACCGAATGGTGAATCACTTTTGGGAGGCTTTGGACCTGGAGATACGTGATAGGGCAACTCAATTGCCCAACATGACTTTCAGCCAAGTGGTTGCCCAAGGGTTGAAGGGAGAAAAGCAATGGGAGGAGAGAAAGAAGAGAGACGCCGAGGAGGCGAAGAAGAGAAAGTGGGAAAGTCATGGCCCCCAAGGCTCCAACAAAAAGGGGAACCATGGGGGAGGAGGATCATTTAGGGCACCGGCACCGCCAACTAGTGGAAGCTCGGGCACAGGTGGGCAAAACTCAGGCTCGCAAGCCCCAATGGTGATTAGGTGCAGGAACTGTAACATGAACCATGGAGGTAAGTGTCGTGACCCTCCTCGGTGCTACCAATGTGGAGATACGGGGCACATTAAGCCAAATTTCCCTCAACTTGGTGGGAACCGAGGGGCGGGATCGAGTGGCGCTACTACGGCAAGTAGAAACTAGAATGGGGCACCCCATGCTAGTATCAGTAGGGCTGAGCAAAACCCGATCCGACCCGAAAACCCCGATATTTTTTTCGGATATTATCCGAACCGAAGTGGATATCCGACCCGAAAAACCCGAAACCGAAAATCCGATTAGTATTGGGCCTAGACCGGGTGGCGGGTAGGGTTTGTGAAATCCTAACCCGACCCGCCCGAATATCCGAAATATATGTTTAGTGTGTACTTTGAATATTTAAATTAATACTTGTGTTCAATTATTTGTGTAATTATTTGTGCAATTTGTATTAAATTATTTGTGTAAATTGAATATGAAGTGAACTATTGTGTACAAGTTTTGTTAAAGTGGCATTCCAACACTTTAACTATCCAATTATAATGTGTTTTGATATAACCAAAATATCCAAAATATATTAAATTATGTAGTGTGTACTTTGAATATGTTAAATTATTACTTTTGCTCAATTATTTGTGTAATTATTTGTGCAATTTGTGTTAAATTATTTGTGTAATTTGGAAGTTTAGTGCACTAGTGTGTACAATTTTTGTCAAAGTGGCATTTAAACACTTTAATTATCCAATTATAATTTTTTTTAATATAACCGAAATATCCGAAACCCGACCCGATATCCGATAATATCCGACTTAAAAATATCCGAAATACCCGATTTGAAATATTAAAGGGTCGGGCCTAATATTTAAATTAAAAAACCCGAACGGGTTTAGGGTTCGTAAACCCGACCCGCCCGAACCCGACCCGTGCACACCCCCTACTAGTATGGGGCAAGGGGGAGCGAGCACAAGCAACGCACCGTCCGTGAACCAAGGAAGGACTCAAGCTAGAGTCTACGCAATGACCGAGACCGATGCTCGGGCCAACCCCGACTCCGTTGCAGGTAATCCTTTGTAACGATTGATAAATTACATGTATTGAGTGCTAAGAATGATAGCGGGTTTGTACGGGCTCGCCGGGGCCGATATCGGCCGGTTTCTTAGCAAAAAGTTGCAAAAATAAACTGCCCAGGGGTAAACCGGCGCCGGTTTAGGCTTAAACCGGCGCCGGTTCTAATAAAAAATGCTTGTTTTGAGGTCGCCGTGGGTAAACCGACGCCGGTTTTGGCCCATAACCGGCGCCGGCCAAGGGTCGGGGAGGCTTAGCTAATAAAAACCTTATTTCCGGGGGACGCCGTAGCAAAACCGGCGCCGGTTTTAGCCATAACCGGCGCCGGTCTAGGGGAAAAAGATGTCGGAAAATTACCGTGCTCGTAACCGGGGCCGGTTTTGAAGAAAAAACAAGTTTCAAAGTTGCCGAAGGTAAACCGGCGCCGGTTTTGGCCATAACCGGCGCCGGTCCAGCTCAATTTACGTGTATCCGGCCACCCCGAAGGCAAACCGGCGCCGGTCTTGCCTAGAACCGGCGCCGTTCCAGTGTATTTTTACCCGAAAAAATTTTCGTTAAGCCCCGTTTCGATCCGGTACGTTGACTAGTGTGTCTTACATGACTTATATATGTAGGAACATTAAAGATCAATGGTAGAAACGCAAGAATTCTCATTGATACCGGGGCACAACGTTCATTCGTGAGTAAATCGTTTGCCGAAAGTTTAGACGTGCCGCTGATAGAAATGACGCAACCCTTGTTGGTCTCTACACCGTTGGGAGACGATGTGGAGAGGAAACACTACTACCCTTCGTGTGAGGTAGAAGTGACGGGTCAACCTTTGACTTGTGACTTCGTACCTCTAAGTATGCTAGAATTCGATGCAATTCTAGGGATGGATTGGCTCGAGAAACATCATGCTCGAGTGGATTGTTATGCCAAGGTTTTGGAACTCGAGGATGCTGAGGGGAACACTCTACGTTTCGAGGGATATCGGGGAGGATCTCATAGTTGTATAATATCCGTGATGAGGGCACGGAAGATGATGAAGAAGGGATGCCACGCATACCTTGCTTATGTGGTGGATGAAGCAAAGAAGGAGGTTGACATCAACGATGTACGCGTCGTGTGCAAATATCCGGATGTCTTTCCCAAAGACTTGCCGGGGCTTCCACCCGACAGAGAGATCGAATTCGTGATTGAAGTGGAGCCGGGAACCAAACCCATTTCGATTCCTCCTTATCGAATGGTGATAAGTCCGTATTTAGACACGCATTTGATGCGTGTCCGGGTCGGATTTTGATGATTTTCCTGGCTTTAAGGCGTTGAAAGTCTCAATTTTGGCTCAAGTTATGTTTAGCAGGCGTTGGATCGAGTTTCGTTGCATTTGGAGATGATTTGAAGAAGTTAGAGTCCGGCAATCGGCGCTGAAGAGACAATCGGGAGGAGATAGAAAGAATTCAAGGAAGAATTGAGAGATTTGGAGGTCACCAGGTGATTCACGGCGAAATTTTGATGAAGAAAGAGTATTGGGATCGACCTCGTTTGAATCCGGGCACGTTTGGAGCAAGAAAACGAGAAAACGGAGCGAAAAAGTCAGACGCACGGTCGTGCGTCTGGGACGCACGATCGTGCGTCCACTACTAAACCGCGATGAGGCCTCTGCCTGCTACGCACGATCGTGCGTAGGCAGGGACGCACGATCGTGCGTAGCCCCGTGACACGCGCGGAAATTTCCTATTTCGGCCCAAATTCGGTTTTTCCCCTTTTTTCTATAAATAAGGCCTCTCTAACCCTTTTGAGGGGTTACGAACATTACGGAGAGGCCTAGGGACGAATTTAACACCGTTTTTACGCTATTTTCTTCCAAGACCCTGGGATTATTTGTAAGTTCATCTTTTTAATTAATGACAATTATTTCTATTCATCTCAATTCTGTTGATTCTTCAATTATGAATTGTGAGTAGTTTAATTCGGGATTTGGGGTTGATGAAGGGGTTAATCATGATTGATGGCTAGATTCTTGTCGGTTTAATTGCATGAATGTCGTTTAATTTGTGTCTGAATAATTTAACTGATATCTCTTGTAACCTAGATGGCCACTAGAATTACAATTGCATGTAGAATGAATTAAGAGAGATCTAATTTGTTCTAGGACACATTCACACACACTTAATCGTTCGCTAAGAAATTAGTAGCGATTAAGGAGCCGTAAGCTCGCTCGTCTTGGCAATAATTTAGGATCTTGTCG